TCCGAGGCTTCATCAGCTATGACCGAACCATGGATATTATCATAGAGGTGGAGGGTAGGTGGAAAGTAAATCGTATGCTGCTATGACCAACCAAAAGATGGCCGTTTGTTATTCTCATAAGAAAGGCAGTCTGGAAACACCTTCAGAGACAGGCTGTTTCGACTTCCTTTTTGCACTCTGAATGTAATATTGTTTTATCAGTGTGTAATAAACATGTTGGAACTTGCACACAATCACAACTGTTTTGCATATTATGTGAATATATTACGACATTTAACTAAAACACGTGCCATTAATTTCAAACCTCGGACATTCCAAGCAGCCAAAGACAGATGATGCCAGTTCTCCTTCAGTTCTTTCTATCTGAAAAAAAAAGTCTGCACATGAAACTGTTTCATTAATTTTACAAGCGTTTGTACGCGATGGTTCATCAGTTATAATCAAAACGAAGACTACGTATTTAGGAAGTTCGTAACACCAAAAGCCTCAGACATAAAAGGGGCGCAGTGCATAGCTCATTTGTTTTCGTAGCTTTTGCAAAACAAGTTGACTAACGCTAGAGCTGCGTATTCTTCAGGAAACAGTGCGTCACTGACTCTGTTCTATGGCAAATTAGTTGTAGCAAGCAAGGATAAAAAGATGGCTGCTGTCTTCTTGGCTGTAGCGCCGTGTAGTCCGGTTAGTTCACTTATCACCCTGACGATAGAGGCAGCAAGGACCTCTGAAACGTTGGTAAATTTCTACCGGACTACACGGAGCTGCGACCCGCAAGACATCCATCTTCGAATTCACCGCCCCGAAAAATTCAAATCCTACTTAATACTAATGATTGGTTTTGCCTCCTTTGGGAACATAGACAAAACATGAATGCCTTTGTGACCATTATTTCTGAAAATTTTTTACATCATGAATATCTATTTGAAGACTATATATATACTAGAACTGTAATTAGGCCCTCACATGAAGCAAAAGTCTATTTTTTCATATAGGCTAAATTACAGACTGATTTTGAAACTAACAATTTCAGTTCATTCACAGCACATTTATTAAATGCATGTAATCAGGGAACCAAATCTAGGTTGCACTGCTCGGTTCTGTGTGGTTGAGGAACAGACATTACATTTTTATATATGATTTAATTGTACTAAAAGCAGTACAAACTGCGCACTTGTCCGGCTTATCTACGCAATTCATTTTCCCGCGCACGCTCACAGATTTTCTCTGTGGTCACCGTGGCAGTCTCCAAGGCGATTTTGCTCATGTTGTCTCTGCTTTTTTGCTTGTGGCAGAAGCATGACTTTGTTGTATTGAGTTCTGCTAGTGAAAATATTGGACGAATGTTATAACGTTGGCTGTTAAAATAATCTCAGTAATGACTTCTAACACAAATGAAGGTGAATTAATCATTCAGTCACCTGAAATAACTTCAACAGTGCCTACGCATTTATACATGAGACGTTTAAATTATTTTCACGTTTACCAACGCCCGTCACTTGAACCTGTCCCCTGGAATCCTAACCAAGAAAATACTCATTCAAGAATCGTTCCTGACTTCTTACCCACCTCATTAAACGCAGTACGCAATGGTAAAGTAGCTACCTGTGTAAAGGATTTTGTGAGTGATAGTTATTATCTAATATTATTCTGGCACGGGTAATTCCATTTATTAATGAAACTGCCGGGGACCAGCAATGTGGATCCCGCCATAATAGGTCAACTATTGACAAGATCTTTTTCATTCGACAAATATTAGAGAAAAAGTGAGAGTATAGTGGGACAGTAAACCAACTATTTGAGGACTTTAGGAAGGCATATGACGCAGAAGAGAGGTACTGTATGGCATTTTGATTGAGTTTTGGAATACCGTGGAAACTTGTTAGGTTAGTTAAGATGTGTGTGGATGATGGGGTATCTCCTAGAGTTCGTATAGGTAACCTTCTGTCGTATCCGTTTCCAGTGCACAATGGCCTAAATCAGAGGGATTTTTTCTCCATTGCTTTTTAATTTTTCTCTAGTTCATGTCATTAGGAAGGTCAGAGGGAATCTCTTACTTTTGAAGGAAGAACGTAGATTACAAGTATATTTGTACCTAGGAGGATATTATATACAGTTATTAATCGTATTACAAACCAAGTCACTGAATGCAGTCATTCATTTTATTGTGAAGGTATGTAGTTACAGTGTAGACCACGTGCTCAGATGCATATTCGCATCACATAGATCTCTGTCCATTTACAGGTGACTTGAGTTGTGTAATTAAGTTCTTCAGTTTTCCCCTGCTAATCATCATTCCACCATTGCTCCATATTTATCTCTCACTGTCCCATGAGGTGTGTGATAGCCTCGATCAACCACCACATTATCATACCCTTGGTCCTATGTCCAGGGCTTCATGTGTGATCTGGCACTTGGCTGTGCATGAAGTGAAGTTCAGTTCAGTTCAGTTTTAGTTCCAGTATAAAATAGATGTTTGAAGTAGGATGTGCCTTATTCCACCACAATTTGGTTTGCAGTAAGAGGTTATGAGTTTAGGTTAGTGTAAGTGTAGTTTAAGTATCTAATGATATAATTGCTGTTAAGTTCATGATTGTCATACGATAAGGGAATTTATACTATACCTTTATTACAGTCCATAAATTCACTATAAGTTGTACATATCGGAGCATTGCATTACTGTACGATTCTCACTATGCTGCTTCATATGAAATTAAACACATCTGTGTAAGATTGTATGGAATGGCCCTGTCAGAAGTACATCAACTTTAATATAAATGTAGTGAATTTGAGATCCTCATAAATGTACAGTTTCTGTCAAAACATTGGAACTACCTGTTCTGATATTTGTAATTTTCCTGCTTCTTGCAGGGCCTGATGCAGGGGTTAGAGCCCCCCCCGTGCAAGTGGCAGTTCATGGTGAAGACAACACATACAGAGCGTTTATCATTTTAGGTTCCATATTTATCACCTCATTGGCAGTTTTGTTTTTTGTCTTCATGCAGTTCCCAGAAATTGAACCGTAAGTTCATTGGTTTAATAAAGTAAGTGGCAACTTTAATGCGACGCATCATGTGGCAACAGACTTTATGTGATGCGCTGAATGAGATGTGAAAATGACTGCGAATTGCGGAGAATCGCTGGCCTATTTCTTAAAAGCCGAAGAAAATTGGAGAAACCTTAGTCGGAACAGCTGGCACCCTGATTGAATACTTTGCATTAAGTCTGAAGTTGTTTGTTTCATGTGGGCTTTTCCCCCAGGAATTAAAGAGAAGAATTTTTGCTACAAAACAGCTTCTGAAGATGCCAGGGTTACTTATTTTATAGTGTCTGAGATTTAGTATCTTACTTAACAGGTTAGTTCAGTATTGTGGACTGCATGGGTTTTGGAAGTACCTGGTTCAGTTCTTGTGACTGGAATTTAAAAGATTTTCTCAGTTCCTGAAGGCAAATGTTGGGATTATACTTTAAAATAGGGCATGACTTCTTCCTCTTACCAGACATCTTCCCATCTTGTTCAGTACTTAGTACTAATGCTCTTAAATGTGGTATCGTTGAAGTTGCATTTTGCCTGGTCTGCAGGGGTGAGAAAAATGCAGAGTGATGTGTGTTTGGTAAATGCTGTTCTAGAGGGGCGCTTATATTTCTTATTGATTCTAGACATGAAATGCAGCAAGTCAAGTTTCCTTGGGACATAGAAGATTACAAACAACTTGGCAGGGTCTTGGACCGCTATAAAGACAGATACTTCTTTGAGGTCATGTTGGCTGTTGCTGTGACATATATATTGTATCCTTTTCCAAATTCTTTGAAAGAGACTTCAGACTATCAAAATAGTGTGTTGTATGATACTGTTAGATCCTGCTAGCACAGTACAGCTACCAGTTGAACGAACATGTACCTTTGTTTCCCAGGGCTTTTATTTCCAGTTGCACTACCAGAATGATGCCAGTTTTTCTATGTCTCTTTACTCAGTCTTGACTGTAATTTGTTTCTACAAGATGATCATATATTCTGCATTCATAGGAGTAAAATCTATTTATGAGCTTCAAGAAAGTCTATGATTCATTTAGGAAAGAAGTATTATACAACATTTACATGGAATTCAGTTTAACACCGAATCTTATTCGGCTAATTTAAATGTATTTAAATTAAACCTATATAAAGTCCATGTAGGTAAAATGTTTGAACTTTGCTTTTGAATGCGCCATCAGGAAGGTACAATATAACAAATGCAGGCTGGAACTGAATGGGGCACATCAGCTTCTGGTCTGTGCTGATGATGATGACTTATTGGGCGAAAATACAGATGTCACAGAAACACACAAGCTCTCTTGGGTGGTAGCAAAGAAGTAAATGCAGGTGGTATATGTACATGTGTTGTCATTGGACGGCAGGGAAAAATAGTTGTGTAAAGGATGCTAATAAATCCTTTTGAAATGTGGCAAAGTTAAAATATTTGGGAATGCTGTTGACAAATCAGAATTACATTCATGAGGAAATCCATACCAGACTAAATTCAGGGAATGCTTACTACATGTAGTGCCAAAACTTTTGGCTTCTCATCTGGTATGTAAAAATGTAAAGATTAAAATACAGCATACAAAACTATCATTTGATCTGTTGTTTTCATGAGTGTGAAACCTGGTCTCTTACATTATGCGAAGATTTGGACCTAAGATGGGTGAAGTAACAGGAGGCTGGATGTGTGTGCAGGGAGGCAGGCAGGTTGCTGTGAGATTATGAATTTCAGGCCCCACTGTGGTTCAGCCAAAGTCTTCTTTTCCAGCTTCATTCTCGCTGCTGTCTTAGCATTGAGTCTTTCCTCCTCAGAAATGGATTTCCTCACCTTTTCTGGATGGCTAAAGTTAGGAATGCTCAAACGCAGGGATTCTCAACTCACAGACCACATGCAGCCCACTGTTCTGGTTTATTTGCATATTTTTGTAATTTTATGTGACTGTATGGTGAAAAATGTTACCTGAAATTAGAAAAGATGTTTTGTTATTGTCTTCATTATTGGCAGTAACTGTCACTGTGACCATCTGTTTAGCTTAATGAAGAACATCAAGTCAAAGTGGGATCTGTTTTGCCGATGACCAACTGGAGGGATGCACGTACATCACAGTAGACAGTAAAATTGATATTGAAAGATTACCCAGGTGAAGAAAAGTGTTAAGTAATGTGATGTGAGCCTGTTTACAATATAAAGATGACTGTCCTCTGGGTTGTTGTTATGTGTAGTCTGGTAGAAGTTTACCAGTGTTTCAGAAGTCCTTGCCACCTCCATCATCAGAGCTGAAATGTTGACGAACTTCTGCCGTACTACACAGCACTACAACCCAGAAGATAGAGGGCCTCTGAAATTTTGATCCTCAAATCCTGTTTGCGGTAGTAGGCATATTAATAATTCTGTGACATTTCAATAAATAGCCCTAGTGTGAAACCTTGTGGCCCATGAGTCATTAACAGGGTGAATGCAGCACAGTGACTGGAAAAGGTTAAGAACCAACAGGAGATCTTTACTTCACACATTGACAAGCATCACAGTTCCCATACACATCATTTATGCACTGAAGTTAACACTGCACATTAAAGATTTTAAGCACAACCTGTATTCATCCTATTTGTCACAGCTGTCATTCATTCTTGCTTAATGTGAACGGTTATGCGTTTTGAGTGTCCTGAATTTTTATGTCAAGAGCCCAGAGACCATACCCTGTTATCACACATTGTCTTTACTGTAACTGTTAGTTCCTTAACTGTCATGTTCAGTTTGCAGACGTTTGCCATTCCTGGATCAATATCATTGTCAATCCTCTCTGGTTTTCTCTTCCCATTCCCACTAGCACTTATATTAGTGTGCTTCTGCTCTGCAACGGGAGCCTCGTTGTGCTATGTGCTGTCCTACTTTCTTGGGCGACGCCTTGTCTACAAATATTTTCCTGAGAGAGCTTCTCAGTGGTCCTGTACAGTAAGTAAACTAACAGACATGTTAGTACATAAAAATGAAATATTTAAGCAATTACCAGGATATCCCACAGTTTCATACTACATGCATTTGCTTTAATCCGTTAACTTTTCCACAATGTATGGTTGGAAGATTTTGTTTATGTTGGGACTTGGCATCTGCATTCTTTAATGGTATAATTTGCAGTGAAATGAAATGTGGTAATGTTAATATTTTTGTGTTAACACTTTCATGAAGTCTTTCATTATACTGTAGTTTTCTGCAGCTGAAATTACCAGTTAGTTGGACACAGGAAGACCAACTGTTAGACAGCTTCCGATCCGTGTCTTATGTTCGTGTGTTTTGTGATACTGTATGAATCTCTGTGTCATGAGTCACGGTCTTATGCATAGTAGAACAGAGAAGCTGATTATTTTCATCAATTTCCCCCTAAATTGTGGCCTACCCTACTTCAGAGTAGAGTCTCAGAGTGCTGGCCTTCTATGACGTCTTGAAAGAATATTTTTAGACACACATTGACATTCCAGTTTGGCTGATGCTGTTCTCGATGATTTACTTGGGTTTTACGGCATTACCACTTTGAAGGCTGCCATGTTTCCTTGGGTATGGACCTTTGGAGTGTGAGGCCTTTCTTGCTTCAACATTGAACCATGCTCTTTCAACTGCATCTTGAGTCTATATATTGTTTGTTTAACATTTGCTCACTCTGTGCCAAAATTCATAGAAAAGTCTTTGTGTCACAGTAACACTCTTTGTTTCTGCAAAAAATAATGCAGCTTTTATTTTCTGAGTCTGCTGTCTTAAAAATATATTTGCTGCTACTGCACATTCTTTTGCTGCCAGCTACCGTAGTTCTCATGAGCTACTGCATTTGCTGCCAAAGCTTGAAATTTGTTTTTAAAGTTCACGATAAATGGGCAAACATTTTGTGCGCCACCCTGTGAAACACATGAATTAGAGTGAATGGAGAAGTTGCATGAGGAGTGATAGAATTATATGAATGGTGCTTAAACAGGGAAAGCCTGTTTTAAGTTGCTGTACTGTCCTAGCATTTGTCTCGAAGGAAATCAGGCTGAGTTTGAAGTGGATACTATCAAAATGTGAAACATCTTTGCTTCTTAAATCAATTATTGTGCTACTGCTTCTGTAAAATTTATTCAGAAGTATTTCTTTTCCATGTCTTTACTAGTTTAGAGCCTTCAATAAGCAAGAGATTTTATTTCTTATTTACAGGTGAATAGACATCGAGGTAACTTAATTAATTACCTCTTATTTCTGCGTATGACACCTTTCTTACCCAACTGGTTCATCAACATCGCATCTCCCATAATTGGTGTACCACTCTTTACATTCTGGATTGGCACATTTGTTGGTAAGTTGATAAGCATGTTAATCAAGCTGTGTGTATATTAAAAGTTACAAGTTACATTTCCAACCATTGGCAGTCATTCTTTATAAGGCCTACAAATTTTGGATAATCAAAATAAACATTTAATGTTGCCTACTGGGATGGTGGAAGCAGCAGTCACCTGTGAAACATCAGTCAATTTATACGAGACTACGCAGCACAGCATCCCAGAAGATATCCATATTTGTACTTGCCAGTGTAAGAACCTGTATCATTTATTCTTATTCCCATGACCCATAGTGTTGACCACTTGCACAGCTGCTAGTGTGAACAGTTCCATAAGAGACAGGGCGCAACAGAATATTTGCACTTAGGTTGTTGAGAGGAATTACTTCTAGAATAAAGTGGAAGCTAAAACTTCCCCCTTACACATGAAGGCCCTTGGGGGAAGCAGAGGAGGTATAGCTCCTACTCATTCTTGACCTCGGAGCCAATCTGGCTAGAAAAAAAAGCCTTTACTCTTGCCAGGAATCGAGCCTGGTCATCCAGTCCAAGTCAATCACCAAACTGACTCAGCTGCCCGGCTCCATTACTTCTAGAACATTTGTTTTAAATCCAGTTCCTTATCACGTAAATGAAAAAGAATTAGGAATAAGAGAATGGCATGCATCCCTGTGAATGTAAACTTGCTGCACAAACACTTGTATAGTGAGGTGTAATATGTGAGTTTAGTTTAATACCAACATGCTATAGAAACCCATCATTTGTTATTACAGTTCATATTTTCTAAAATTTACTTTCCTTGTCTGTGTGCAGCAAACTTTTCTGTCAGATTCAGACTTGAGGATGTTTCCTTATAAATAATAAAGCCAAAATGATCTTTCATCAGGCATTGCACTGCTGAAGCCAACACAATTCTGTGCACTGTTTTTGTATTCAGGAAAGATATAATACTTGAAAAACTGAAGGGTTTCAAATACACTTCTTAGGGAGATGAAATGTTGAAGCACCTGCAGTTCATAGATGCCGATGCCATGTGTATGTCGCAGCGTACTCTCATTTTTTCTCTAGTATCTGATGAATGCAGAAGATCTGGTCAATTGTTGATCTGTTACGTCTGAACGCACACTGATGATCCCCAATAATTTCATTCGCATATGGAGTTAATCTCGCCACGAGAATGTTTGATTGTACTCACTGCCATAAAAACCTCTTATATTACTTAAGGTACATGCGATCATAGAGCCAGTTCGAAATGAAATGATATTTTGTTATTTTAACCATTAACAGTAAGTTATACAGAATGAACCTTAGCAGCAGCAATGCATGTCACAGGTGACAGATGACAGCATGGATGTTAGTTGACCAACAACAGTTGAGTCCTGTAAATATCTTTTATGTAACTTAACTTTTATTCTTTCTTATGAAAAAATAGTAATTTGTCAGCTGGTAGCATTTAATTAAGTTTAAGGTACGAGACTGGACACAGTTCTTGTGAAAAATACAGTGAAAGATAATAAAAGACAAGTGCATTGAAGTCTGACAAACACTGAAGTGAAGAATAAGAAGACTCACTAACTAACTCACTCCCTAGTAGCAGAACTCACAGCCCACCTCCCTAAGATCCATCTAGATATCCTTCAATCTTCTTCTTGGTCTGCCCAGTGGTCGTTTTCCAGAAGGATTTCCCACCAAAATTCTGTATGCACCTCTTGCCTCGCCACAAGTGTGCTACATGTGGAGCCCATCAGAGCCCTCTAGATTTCACTATCCTCACTATGCTTGGTGACCTTGACAATTCACGCAGCTCCTTGTTATGCAGTATTCTAAGTTCCCCACTTATTTCATCCCTCCGAAGTCCAAATATCCTCCTGAGCACCTTGTTTTTATACACTTGTAATCTACGTTATTCCTTCAAGGAAAGAGACCATGTTTCACAGCCATACAAGACAACAGGCAAAATTACTGTTTTGTGTATTCTTACCTTGAGTGTTTTGGATAGCAAACGAGATGATAACAGTTTTTGAACAGAATAAAAACAAGTGTTCACTGAATGTACTCTACTCTTAATTTCATTGTGGATCTCATTTCTCAGGCTAGCAGCTGACAAATTACTTATTACTGCTCTAACAGATGTAGTTCCAGGGGCCATGTGATTGTGTTATATATTTGCTTGTAATAATTTATTTAAGGCAAGCAGTCTGGAGTCAGTAGACTGTTGGTGAACATTGGCTGTTGCTCTTGTGAATGTAGAATTCAGTCATAAGTTGTGAGCACAAACATTTATAGTGTTCTGTCTTTACAACTCTCCCCTTAACCCTTTTCTGTTGTGTGTTGACATATAATCAAAAAAATTTTTTTTGTGTGTGTTACTTTGTTTATCTGTCATGTGTCACTGCTGGCCACTGCAAAATGTGGCAACTACTGAATGCTTAATCAGGCATGTGTTGCCATCTGGAACAGATAATTAAAACTCCTTGGAAGAAAGAACATGATAATTATTATGGAACATTATAAAGATTGGGTAGTTCTCATTATGATGTCAGATTTTATTGGCTGAGAAGATGAAAGTAATACATTTGTGATGAAGATGGAGATGATGAGAGTGCTGTGGTGAATGAAGAAGTGGATAACGGCAGTGAAGCTGAGAGTGATTTGAGAAACTGAAAACATAACAAAACCTTGCACATTCTCACAGTCAAGGTATTTAATTCCTCTACATGTCCTGGCTGCAAAAAATTCTGATGTTGTTATGACTGTAAAGGGTTGAAAAGAAAGATGAGAAATCTTCTCAGAAATAAAAAAGGAATCGTACTGCGTACACTATTAAGAAATTTACACTGAAGAGTTAGACATATGGAAACGTTTATGTAATGTGTTTAATATTTGGCTTTTCATGTCCAACAGGTGTAGCCCCACCATCATTTGTTGCAATCCAGGCTGGACAAACATTGTACAAACTATCAGCTCCAGGTGATGCATGGTCTTGGACTTCGGTCGTCGTTCTTGCTGTTTTTGCCGTGCTTTCATTGGTTCCAGTAATGTTTCAAAAGCGGCTGAAGGAAGCAGTCGAGTAGTCTTCAACATAATAGTTACAATTTTTTATTTGTAATGTTAATAAAGTAAATAATACTGAGCTGGGAAAGTCAGTTAGGTATTGTATTGGCAGCCTAAAAGGATGTGTTGCAGTTTTCATAAAGCTTGTTGTATCCACATGAATGCATTTATTTTGAACACGTCTCTATTTATTAATATTGCTAAGTCAGTCTTTCTCAGATTTTGCTTTCCAGAAACATCATTTCAGAATTAAGTGGCTCACCTCACAGATCTTCCATCCTTCAAAATGTGGCACGTCTCATCTTAGGTACCTTTGTGATATGACAAGAGGAAGTGATTAACTTGTCTGCAGATAGCCATTAACAGAGTTTCTTATCATGTATGTTGGCTGAGTGCAGTGCATGTCTCTGGCAAGCGCAATCAGGGTTTGGCAATGATTGCTTAGTACAGGAACTGTAGTGCAGGGCCAGTGTAAAATATGTGACTGCTATGCACACTATTATATATCTAAATGTGTTATAATGTGCCTGTAAATTAATGAAGTGGATTTCATGTTTGGACATTATGGTGAATGAGTACTTCAGAGAGGTCTTGAACATAACATCACATGGGCATGTTTCAAGTTTAATGTTACACATTTAATATTATCTCCAGTTTTCCTTCTGATGTATATGATTATAAAGAAGTGTCTTAATAGTTACTCTGCCTAAGAAACTGAAGGTTGGAACAGTCATGAATAATATCCTCCTTACAAGGAACTTCAGTATTAGATATCAACATGCTATTACACATTGAATGTACTTTTTTTTATTAATGTGAGAATCTCAGCATCTTGCAGATGGAGAATATTACTTCTTGTTTCCAGTATTGAATTAACAAGGTGGTGCTGTGAAGTGAGGTGGTCACCCTGCGTTCTGGTTAAGCTGATATGTGAATACAAGGCGCCTTTAAATATTAATAGTAGATTATTTCACAAACACAACTTTTGTTCAGTCTGAAAACATTGATATTACAGAGTTCTTTGACAGGAAGATTCCTGTGTACCTCTAATAATTCAGCGCTTTTTATTTTATTTTGTTATCTGAATTTAAAATTTTATGTATTGTTTGTTTTTATTGCATACTTGCTAATCTCGATCTGGCCCACAGATCAAGATTAGCTCCATATAACAGGCCCAGCTGTTTATGTTCTCCTGAGGGTGGGGGAAGAGCCATCTCGAAAAACTTAGTGGTTTCAGGAAGCACAGTGGTGATGGACAAAGTCAGAAAATTTGAAATTGGTAGTGTTGTTTGGTTTCCATCTATGTGGTGAATTGTATGGTAGGTCTGAGACTATTGAGGTGAATGAGAAATTCCTGTAATTTTGCTGATACATGTGGCCAAACCACAAATATATTGTCAGCATATCTTAACTGGATAACTGGTTTGAGGTCTGTTGTATCTATTGCTAGTTTCTCATAATGCTCCATACATATATTGCTGAGTATTTGAGATAGTGAACTGCCCATTTCTATGCCTTTTTTTTTGCTGGTAAAATTTGTCTTCAAACTGAAAGTAGTGGTTTTCATGCAGACATCCAATAATTACATCACATCACCAACATATAAAGATGAATGATCCAAAACTACGGGATTCACACAAAGCATATTCCTGATGACTTGCAGGGGTTGTTCCACAGGTTCATTAGTGAACAAGCTTACCACATCATAACCAACCACCATGTCCCCATTTTGTAGATTGATGTACTTGATTAGCTGTATGAAATGTTCTGAGTTTTTAACAGAGGACCAGTGTTGCTGACTAAAGGAGCCAAAAACTTCTGGAGATATTCCCCAAGAGTGTAACAGGGAGAACCAATGGAGCTTATTATCAGTCTGAGACGGGTGTCTGGTTTGTGTATTGTAGGAACGCCATAAAGATGAGAAGGTTTGCAGTGGTAGGGGGTCAACTTCCACCTCAAATTAGTGGGAAGGAATGATTTACGTGTAAAGAGTAATTTCTCTCATTTTGGGATGTACTGTCTTCATGTAGAGGTTTATACACTCCTGATTCCAAAGGTCTATCTTCTGTTTATATATGGAGTCACTCAACACTACATTCCAGTTTCTTTTGTCCACTGGTTGGATTTTAATTTCTTTATTCTGTTTCAAAGATATCAAAGCCTTGGATTCCCTCGTGGTTATGCTGAATGGTACTAATTCTGATTTTTCCATCATTGTTCATATCCTTCAGCTGAACTCCATGCCTATCGCAGAGGGAAGTCGGGACTTCACCAATTCAGCTGCACATGCCATATTTAAATCAAAATTAGCGAAATGTGCATATTAAGAAGGGCATCAGGTACATTGGAATGATGTTAAGGTCTTACAAATTGTACCAAATATATGTTGGAAATATTAGGAATAGGCCCACATGTCGACGCTAGCCAATCTGGTCAGTCAGCCCAGTCTGGATTGTTGTCATCAGCAAGGAAGTTACAGCTGAATTCAGTTTGTTTTTATGAGAATGTTTTACTTTGTATTCTGTATGGTTGATTTTTAACTCTTAATTTCTTAATCTGTTGGTTCTAGGTAGTGTCTTTTAACTGCTTATAGTTTAAAAAAATTTATTATTGTATTTGGTTGGGTCTGTTGTCTTTGTGTATGTCTCTGTGTTTTGAATGTCAACTCTTACTGTTTTTGTTGATTTTCATTTTATGGACTCTGGCCCGAAGATAAGCGCGCCGTGGATGCAGTTTATCTGATTGCTTATAGTTTTAGGAGATGGTTCTTCATTTTATCTCCTGCAGATACATGCTGGTCCACTCAGCCTGTATGCTTTGATATGCACTGCTAGTGTTATTCAGAGATAGGGACTAGCTGTATCAATTGAGCCCTACAGAATAGGTTTTACCCGAGGGTTGAGACAGAATCCAGTCTCCAAAACTTCATATTTTTTTTTTTACAAAAATTAAGATGATGGATAATGTCCAGAGGGATCGTTGTTTTAAATCCAAGTTGTTGATCAAAAACATAATTTTCCTTACCTGTTATAAAAACAGCTGACAACTGGCATATTTGTTTAACTGGTGAGCTAGTGCAGCATTTGATGAGATAATGCCAAAAAATTCCTGCAAATTTGAAATTGCTGTGAAACTGATCCATGCCTTCACTTGGCAACTTTGCATTCAGAGTAGAGGGCTCTTTCCTACATGAGCATTTGCTCAGATGTGGTGGTAACTGAAAGGCACACATGAGTGGTTCTGGCATTTCAAGAATGGTTGCCATTCACTGGAAGATGATGATGCACATGCATGAAGCAACACCTCTGAAAACTTGAACTCTGTACACCATTGCCTTTGTGCAAGAGATTATCTGGGAGGATCATAATAGTGTCACAGGCTTGATAGGTGTGTTAAATTGTATGCCACTCTTCATAGCATTTTAAGCTGGGACATTGTGGAAAACGCAAATTTTGATTATGATTCAGCTGCCACAATAACATGCAGAAAAAAGATGTGTTCACCATACTCTCACTGTTATGTCACGGAGTGCTGATGTAGAGAACACCAAATGCAATAACAGTTCAGACACGTCTTTTAGCCGCCACCACAATTGAGCAAATGTGCAAGTGGAAAATACAAAATCCCCCAGGGAGTAGGGACAACGTGTCTTATAGCTGGATCACCTGAATCAAGGAGTGAAATGAGATTATTTTGGCTACAGTTTCAAAGTTTGAGGAATTTTTACCATACTTTATATATTCCAGTATGTTGGGAGTAGCAGTATTATGATAATATTTTAAGTGTTGATGGCTGTATTGTTTGGAATGTGTCAATCCTGTGATAAAAATATGATAAGAATATTGTGTGATGAAAATTACATCTAATGCCTGCTTTCTGAGTAAAATGTCCATAAAGTCAGAAGATGTCAGTCGATCTGTTTGCTTGCTAATGCTTGATTCACAGCTTTTAAATTTTATTATGAAAAAGTTAACTTCACTATATTTTGAACTTTGAAATTCTTTTTACTTTGTAATAGGAAGGTGCTGCTTTGTGTTACATTGCTCTGTTTCCTGTTTTGCTCCTCTGTGCCTAGTACACTGTCATAATCATGATAAAATTACCTGAAGATAGGTGTCTTCTGGGTTGTAGTGCCATGTAGTCTGGTAGAAGTTTAAGTGTGCTGACATTTCAGAGGTACATTTGAGGAATTGGTTTGAGATACAAAAACTAGTAAATAATGGCAGGCAGATCCTTGGCCAGACAAGTGGGGCAAGGAGTTACCTTATTCTCCATTGGTCTGACCAGGGTTCAGCCTTGACTGACTGGTTCCTATATTTCTAATGAATTCCTTGTGTGTGGCTTATGAATTACTCTGATGATGGAGGCAGCAAGTACCTCTGAAATGTCAGTAAACTTCTACCATACTACATGGTGCTATGACCCAGAAGACACCCATGTTCATACCCACTTATGTGAGAACCTCACATCCTACATAAAATTATATGTTCTGTAATCTTTATTGGTAAACATAATACTAGTTTATGAATTCATTGGCAGTGTGTCACTTTTCCCAGGGCCTTGGTCTAAAATGAAAAACAGTGGGCATTTTGATTATATGTATTTAAAAACTCTCAGTAAGACTAGTTGCATGTGTAAAAAATATTTCTTCGTACTTCAGTCATACAGAAAGCATGCAGTTATACATTCTGAGGTCAATGATAATGTGTGAAATGAATTTCAGGCCAGTTTCCCTGCATATTTAAATCAGCAAAATAGGAAAAATTATTTTTATTTAATCATGTACACTGTATTTGCTTTGATACCTTTTGTCTCTGCAATATAAAATCCACTTACCAAACACAATTAAGCCCAGGGTTCAGTCAACAATGAACAGTGTGTGTAGCAACAACATTCTGACTAGTGGAAGGTTTTACAAAGATATGGAAGATGACTGTCCTCTGGGTTGTAGTGCCATGTAGCCTGGTACATGTTTACCAACACTTCAGAAGTCCTTGTTGCCTCCATCATCAGGGTTATGTGCTGAAGTGCTTGGGACCCATGAAATGTTGATAAGCTTCTACCAGACTACATGGCACTACTACCCAGAAGATGGCAGTCTCTGTGCTCACTGCAGTGAGAACCTAAAATCCTACTCTTTGCAGATACTCTTGGTATTAATGCACAGGTCATTGCAAATGGCAGAATATTATGTTACCATTCATTATGACATGAGGAGCTTAGAGTCACTCAGTATAGTAATACTGTACTTCTGTTTTCTTAATTATGTATTAGTGTCAGTTATCAGAAATTTTTGTCAGTTCAATGATGAAGCAAATTCTAGAAGTAAAGCACTGTTTAATTTGTTCCTTTGCTGAACAGCTTTGTGTAAGGACCAAATAAGGACTAAAAGAAAAATATAAATAAGAAAGAGAAGAGGAACTGAATGGTGCTTTCATTGATTAGCCCAAGCTCATTAAAAAGTTTGAAAAACATTAGTAGTCACATATACTGAATCACTCCAAACTATTCTGGAAGCCTGTATCAAGGAATCCCAACTGGGGAGTAACTGCAACTATAAGCAGAGCACAGGCAACAGACATCTTGGATGTGCACTGAGAATTCTACATGGTTGGTTATACAAAGGATGTACTTTACATATGAAAGAAAAATACATGTTTTTAACATTCGTATTATCCTACAGGGAACCAATGTAACTCACACTGATTGTAGTACTGTTTGCAACAGGACTGCTCTTTGGCCGATAAAACCAGCTGTTGTAGTATACTGAAAGTAAAAGTTGTAAAACTGTATGAGTGCTGACAGTTATGTAGAGAGATTGACAAACAAGGCTGTCTTCTGTGATGTTGCACAGTGTTGTCTGACCAACATTTCAGAGGTGTTTACTGCCGCTATCATCAGAGTGACATGTTGAACACCCTGATGATGGAGGCAGTAAGCATCTCTGAAATGTCAGTATCTACCATACTACATAATGCGACATCCCAAAAAACATCCACTTTCGTACCCTTCCTCAGTAGAATCTGAAATCATAACCAGACTGATGTTTTTGTACAGCAAAGGGCAGCACTGCAGAGTGTGTGTATGGTTGACCGTATGACTACATTATTCTGCTGTTTCTGTAAAATGTACTTGTAATTCAGTATGTTTTGTGGTTCTGGCTACTGTAAGTGTTTTGTTGATGCAGGACTTTGTATTTCTGTGGGTAATATAGGTGATAGATTGTTCTAAGAGAGAACAAACTTTATATCTTGTGAAGTTGGGGAAGAATGCTACTGGGATTTAAAGAACATTACAGGAAGATTATGAAGAGGAACAATGAGTAGAAGACAGATTTTTGTGTAGATGGACTGATTTCAAGACAGAAATGACCCTAATAACTTCCAGAAATAATTCAGATATGGAAGCAAAACTGAAATAAGGAGAAATTATCAACTGACTGGAAGGTGGCAGAAGTAATAAACATGAACAGAGAAATTGTCAGACTGATTTTGTTTAACATTATGAACATCTAGAACGTCTGAGCCAAAATGGTACCAAAAAATGATCGTGAAATACATTTTCTCACAACTTTCACTGTTGGAAGGCTCCACCTTGTGTACACACACACATACATTTTTTTAATCAGTCCCACTATTTAATTCTTACACCTCATATGACAAGCACAGAAATGCACTTTTGAGGAAAACTGAAGCATCATCAAAATGCTGTCACCAAAATCTGGCCAAATTGTTCTTTCAAATGAGAAAGGAATTCCTACCACTGTGTTATACAGCTGAAGTTAAATTATTTTCTTATTAGTTTATTTTATAATATAACATTTACTCTTCATGTGTCACAATATTTGCACATGTCTATGTCTTAAATTCATTACTGAGGCAGAAGAATAACTACGAACTCCTCTAATGAGAGCATTAGTCTTAAAATACTAAGAAACTTACATAAATCAGTTGGCTTCAAAAGAACAGACACTCTGGTACAATTAATGTTGCAGCCCTCTACAGGCTCCAGTACCAGCATACGCTGCCCACTTCCTTGCATTATGAACACTCTGTAGCCTTCTGGAAAAGGCTGAACACACAAATATGTCAATAATTTGAAAAGGTATTCTGTTGGAGTAAATGGCAATGACCTTCCACAACTGTAATATGCTGTGTCATGTCTGCACCTAGAAAAGGAAGGAATCTGCCCCTTGTACTCGGTATCTTTGGTGCAATAGGAAAGTTTGTTCCACTAGTCATGGTGATGGACAGAGGTGATGCTAAGTAAGATGGCTGAAGATCATAAGAAAATTGACAGCAAAACAAAATGTTGTAACTTGTAGAAATATGTGAATGGAGAATTGGCGACAGAACTTGCTGAAGATTATGGAGTATGAATTGGGCGACTGCGTCCGTGAACCTACGCTACTGGGCTGACCTCAGAACTCTTGCTGATCAAGACAACACAAGGAAAATGGGGAAAAATCATGGTGTTGGATGCTGTATTGTGTATCTTGGGCATTGTCTTCCATGAATCCAGTAATGCCAGGTCAATTGTAGAGGAAACTTGTTCCAGATCTAGAAGAAGATAATTTACAAGGTTTTCCTAATGAAGATATCAGAAAGTCTGAAATTTTTGACAGTATGTGTGCTACGAGAATTTTTTAAAATCTCAACAAACATTAAAGCATGACAAGAGTAATGTGTGTAAAGTGGGCTTCTAGCACCTGACAGACATTGTCCACGGTGCCATGAAACAGAAGGAAGAAATTTGTACTGTCATGAGAAGTCTAAACATTTCACAAAAGTATGTAATCATTACAAACTATTTCTCAAAATAATGCCAGCTGTGAAAAGAAATGTAAAGTATTCTCTTGAGCATTGAATTGGGACTTGTGTTACTTTTATCATGTGGGAATAGGTAATTTAAAACCCCACACTGAGGGGCTGCCTGACAAACTTCAACTTTGGGGTAACAGTATAGCAGCATGCTAGTGTGATGCATGTTCAGCTGGATCACACATAAAAGCCACGACATGTGGACAGTAAAGGTTTATGGAGTATAAAGAAACAGTTATGGCCTAATATTTTTCTGTAGGGACTGAGGAAAAATTTTGGTTGGGGTATCTGATCTGACAGAGATTCAAACTGAGTTATTACTGAATATAAAGCAGAAGTGGTAACTACTACATTGTAATGCCCAGTTCCAAAATCTTAGTGCAACAGATCATTTACATGGACCACCAATATATCAAAACTGAAACATATAATGTAAACAAACTAGAAGAATAACTGCAATTGCACATCACTTTAATTAGTTTTGATATTCCTACATTTTCTTATAAAAAATAAGTACAAAATGTGTGATCAGTACAGCCTCCCCTATTTCAAAACATACCAACTTATACTGTGGTGCTTTTGGTTCATCTACCAAGATGAACCTTTCCATATTGACAGTATTGGGGATGAATGAAGGACGAGGGAATAGCTTTCGAAGTAATCTTGCTGGCTCCAGTCTATTCACTCGCCTGAAATCAAAGCAAATATAGTTGTCACATAAGGCTCCTCCACTGAGCTCATTTAAAACTCCTAACAGAACCTCAGAATAAATTACGGTTTATGTAATGTTCTTTGTTTATATGTTTAACAGTGCTTTATCAATTACATAGGTTAACCAACTGACATACTTAGCTGGTGTGATGGTTTTGTTTAGAATTAGAATTAATGGTTCCACTAGGAGGCATGTGCTGGGAGATAATGCAGCTTAGATACTATATCATCTGTGATTCAAACTTCTAATGGCTGATGGAAGCTTAGAATTAAATTGATTCCTGTACAGTACACCTCTTTCTCATGTCTAGTGAGGTCAGCACTCAACATGTGCATGTCATATTTCTGTCTTGTCTATTCCTGAATTTGACAGTTATGACAATAACAATTCAGTTGTAAGCCGAAGAATATTGCATTTCTTACATAATTATCTACAAGAGAGTCTCTCTGTAACACCTGCCATAATTATTATGGATCCAGACTGGCTCTGGAGCCCACCTTGCCTCCTATCCATTGGTACCGGGGTCCTTTCCCAGGGGTAAAGTACAGCCAAGGCATGATGCTGACCACTCACCCCCAACTAGTGCCAAGGATAAAAATGAGTATGAGATATACCTCCTCTCCCCCCAGGTGCCTACATGAAGTAAAGTAGGGCAGCTTTACTTAACCTTTTCATTTTACACAATTATTATGATTTTGTTTTGGAATTTTAAACACCTTTGTCTGT